AAGTTTCTTGAGAGAGTTTGTTACCAAATAAGGAAATTTTTGAGTAAAAAATTGATTGTCGGAAAGAGTTTTTATATAAAATTTACTTTATTGAAATATATATATTGATATATAAATTATATTAAATATATTTATAGAATAAAATAAATAAATAATGTTAATTTATTTATAATACAAATTATTTTTATTCTTATTACACTTGGTATAATTTAGATTGATTATAATATTGAATAGTTAATATTCTTTTAAAACTAAAATAAAATTATATAACTTGAGTAAATAATTTAATTTAGTAAATTAAAAATTTGATAAGAATATAATTTGATAGAGCAATTTTTAATTGGAAAAGTTAAATAATAATAACTTTCTTTTTTTTTGTTATATAGCTAAGCTAGAAATTTCTTAAAGTTTATTTTTATATATTGTTATAAAATCTTTTTATTAAATAATAATATAAGTAAATAAATTAATATAAACAAAACAAAAATAAGAATATTTATAAATAATAAAATATTATTTTTTTGATAAATAAATATTAAAGTAAAAAACAATTTTGTCGAGTTAAAATATAGTATTTATTATATAAATAAAAGATATAAATATAATGTTTTGATATTAAATTTTAAAGTAAAAAAATTTTAATAATAGTATAATTTTATTTTGTTAATAAAATCAAAAGTTTTTTAGGGTTTTTTTATTAATTATAAGAGTTTTAAACAAAAAATCAACAAAAAAATTTATATTAAAAATTTTGATAATTATCTTATACTATTTGTTATTACTATATATTTATTAATGAAATCTAATATAATTTTTCAATATAATAATATTTTTATATACAGTATATGATATTAGATTAATTTAAATTATAAAAAATTAATTATATAAAATTAATTATTATGATTTTTTAATTTCAATTCTATAAAATATATTTGAAAAATTATAAATAAACAAAAAATAAATTTAAATTTAAAATAACTAAGAAAAATTTTAACTTTTTATATAAATAAATAAAGCGCTGATATTTATTTATTGTTAAAAAGTATATTTATCAAAAAAAAAAACTTTTTAATGATTTATAAACATTACTTTATATGGATTTTTTTTGTAAAAATAATCTACTTTAATTTCATTATGAATTGATTGTATTACATTTATTTAAAAATGAATTAATTAAAAATCTTGAATTAAATAATAACTTTAAATAAGAAGTAAGTACAGTAGATGTACAGTATGCATTAAAAAATTTCATTATATATTATAGGTATTGAGATAATTTTTTATAAAATACTGTATAATTAATACACAAATAATTATTTCAATATATTCATTTTATTTTTTCGATTTTCCTTGTATATGCATCATATTTGCATTCGATTTTTTATAATACAGCCGGATAAAGTAAAGTTTCGATGGTTAGGCGAATTGCGTACGACTTATATGGAATTTTAAATTAAAAATTAATTATATAACATAAATTAATACTGTATAATCGAGTAACCTAAAGATTTTGATATACGACAGTGATTGTATTTTACATTTGAAATTTTGAATACACTCAATCACCCGATGGTAAGAACAAAAAGAAAAAGGAATTCCTTAATAATTGAATACAGGCTATTTTTTTGCAGTGGGCGCAATATAGAAGCCTACCAATCGTATTTGTACCGAAAATTCGATTGGTATGGAGAACCAATCTCATTGGAATGTACACATGAAATCCTGAGGGTAATTATTATTACCTTTAAATAACAATAATTATTTAGCTCAAAGTTCCGTTTCTGGTAATAATCAATGGTTGGAACATATGACGTTTGACATTGTATAACGTTGTGCACAAGAAATTTCTATATAAATATGATAAAAATTAACTATTAAAGAAAATTTGAACGCCACATATATGATATGCCCCAATAGCCTAATGGATATGGCGTCGCCCTCCTAAGGCGGAGGTTCTAGGTTCGAGTCCTAGTTGGGGCGTGTGAAGAGGTTTTTTTTTTTCCCTTAGTGATTAAGGTTTGCACAAGTCGAAGAGAGAAAAAAGAACATAAAGCAGAAAACAAAAATTAAAATCATATAGCTTCAATTTACTCGTCAAGTTTTACATTGATTCCCATATTTGTAAAGATCCTAGTTTATTAGAAGTCCAACCACTGGAAAGTTGCACCGAATAATGCTCATGTGCATAAATTTGCGCTTTAATCTATCATTAATTCTTTACGGATCACACAAATGATCAAAGAATGGTCAACTCTCCAAACATTCTCACCTCCACGAATACATTTTGTTAACCCAAACGGTTTTTTTTCACCAGGTGTGCGAACCGCCAATTTCAGTTGTGTAATCATGAAATCTAATGCCCTTTTATCAAATTTGCTATCACCAATTTCCAATAGTTCTGATAGAGCTAAAACGGCCATGTCGGATAAAGTGCGCGCAAAGAATCCGCTTGGTGATCGATGCGAAATCAGTTTTGGCCTAGTTTTTTCTTTCTGTTCCGCATCACCTAATAGAAACTCTAAGATATTTCCTTCGTATAGAAGCTCATTTCTAGCTTTGATCGTTTGGGAAATTCGTTTCGGAGTTTCAAAATCCCCCACGATTTCTTCATAAAATTTACACGCCAATGATGCAAAAGCAGAACTCATATCTAGAAATGCAATATATATTGCACCACCGGGTTTCAATAATCCATACGAGAATGTGATAAATTTGATAATGTCTTGTTTCGGATCGATGTTTGGTTTCTTAAAATCAGTTCTGAGGTATTTTTGTAAATCGAATATCTGTTAATTAGCATGCCGTGCAACATAACCATAAATTCAAAAGAATTATTGTATTAATTTGGAAGGCAATGGGATGATAAGCGTTTGGTACGTACAAATAGTAAATCATTTGCATGCAATTAACGAAGTCAACGGGAACTGGTGGCATCGGCAAGGTTTCGCTACAAACGTTTCCAAGATAATCTTGAATTGGACCTTGATAAACCATACCTTGGTTAAGATACTGATATTCCAATAATTTTTGTTGGTATGCTTTTAAGAAAGTGGGATTCGGTTCGATGGCGTGGATGAAAATTTTTCGATTCTTTGTATCTTCCTCCTTTGCACAAGCCCATCCTTCTAATTCTTTAGCAAAAAACCAGTCAATAGCTTCTCCAGATCCAGCGCCAACATCCAACAGATGCAACTCGTTAATATCTTTTGAAACTGCATTATCATTAATAACCGAATGTAAAGTTTCGCGCAACGAAGGGTACATAAGTTCACGACTATCCACCCCTAAAAAGTCGGATGGCGATCGTGGAACCGTCACACCGCGTCTAAGAGCCATCATACGACGACCAAATACATGTTCGAAAACCTGACTATTATTAAGGTCGCGAAACTCATCGATGATGCGAATTTCGGCGTCGAGTTCTTCCTGAGTAAATGTGAGAGCAGACAAATCCATTGTGATGCAAACGGGACATAGCCAATAAGCTATATAATCAGGTACTTACAGAAGAACATAAGTACGTACCCCTTGATCACAGGTTCGGGAAATGCCACGTAATTTATCATCCTCAAGATCATATTTCCTTATAAGGAAACCTGCATATCGTTGCCAAAAAACATGGAAAATGCTTATTTTCTTAAGATGGAATTGAAATCATCCAGTTTTGGACATTAAAGTCGTATCGCTCAAAACTGATATTTCTGCACGTAGCAAATTATAATACCTCT